GCCCCAGACCCGGAGAACCAGCGAGGCGGCGAGGTAGCCCCAGCGGCTTGCAGCGGAGCCGATAGACAGCTTGCCTCCTCCTCGTCTGGAGGTGCGGTTGGTGGCAGTGAGGGAGAGACTTACTCCAAACACGGACGTCCTCCAGCTCTCTCCCCCCCGCCTCGTTTTCCGTTAGGAACCGGGCGAGGAAATCCATGCACTCGCTGAGAATTGCCTTCTCCAGGGCGCAACGCCACAAGGTGTAGGGAGTGTGCGGGGTGGGGCGAGAGGACCTAGGTCTCCTCGTGGCTCTGGGCGCCCCGCGCCGCCTGTTCTTCATCCCTGCCCTCGGGGCGGACGGAGTGACCCCGGCCCCCACTCCCCGCCCCGACCATGGTAGTGTTCAATGGGCTTCTTAAGATCAAAATCTGCGAGGCCGTGAGCTTGAAGCCCACAGCCTGGTCGCTGCGCCATGCGGTGGGTCCCCGGCCGCAGACTTTCCTTCTCGACCCCTACATCGCCCTCAATGTGGACGACTCGCGTATCGGCCAGACAGCCACCAAGCAGAAGACCAACAGTCCGGCCTGGCACGACGAGTTCGTCACCGACGTGTGCAACGGGCGCAAGATCGAGCTGGCAGTCTTTCACGATGCCCCCATCGGCTACGATGACTTTGTGGCCAACTGCACCATCCAGTTCGAGGAGCTGCTGCAGAACGGGAGCCGCCACTTCGAAGACTGGGTGAGTCCTGTGCCTCAGTGTCCAGGAACCCAGCTGTGGGGTAGGGACGGGGGAGTGGGGCACAGGTAGACTCGCTGGCCTTGGCATTGATTGTGGGGCACGGGGACCTTATCGCTGTCCAGGGTGTTATGTGTGCATCTAAGCCTCAGTTTCCTTGGGAAGGCACTTTTACTTTGGAGTGGAGAGAAATAGCCATTGGGGCCAGGAAGATGAGTCTTTGAAAAAGGGTAAGGCCCTCTGCTTACCCTTTCCCCTCCAGATGGCAGGTGTTGGAAGGCGCTTGCAAAGTGGGAGAGCCCCAGGGCTTCTAGTGCTGAAGGTTGGTGGAGGCCATGGTGCCTTTTGCAGGCACATGGTGGACTGTGTGTGATTGTGTGTGGGTGGGTCCCTTGGTCCGTGGAAAGGCACGTGGAGCCTTAAACTGAAGGCTCTCTAGCGTCCTGGCTTTGTCCTGCGTAGCCAAGCAAGGAGTTGCTCTACTTTTCCCTCCGGAGGAAGCTTGCTTGTTTCTATTCTCCTCTTAGGAGGTTAGCTCATCTTCTGACATACAAAAAGAAAAATGTGTTCTCCAGGATGGTCCCTCTAGGGCCCCAGAAACATCACTATGGCTTGTTTGGCCTAATTCATTGCTATCCATCCAGAATGAGTGTTGTATTCAACATTATGCTTGTTGGTAATCGGAAGTCAGTGCTTTCAGTCTTAAGTTATATTGTTTGCTTATTTTGATTGTCAAGATAATGTGTAATGAAATGCTATTTCTAAGTCTGAGATTGAATTGTTAATCAATTACATTGCCCAAAAAAAGTAGGGACTTGGGACCAGCAGTTAGAGTAATGGCTATGTTGCTGGACTCCCATGTAGTCGACCGCGGCTTGAGTCCCGGACCTAGTGGCTTAAACTCACGCCGAGCGCGTGTGCGTGCGTGCCCAAGATCCCGAGAGGAGAATGGAGGAGAAGGGATTCGGCGTGCCCCCCCCCGGGGGGGGGGGATTTCCTGCTTTCTGTCTCTCTGTCTCTCTCTGTCTGTCTGGTGTGGGCCCGCGCCCTATAGCAAAAACCTCTCAAAAAAAAAAAAAAAAGGAGGGATTTGAAAATAGGCCTTGTCGGGAACCAGCAGTTAGCGTAATGGCTATGTCGCTGGACTCCCACGTAGTTGACTGCGGTTCGTGTCCCGGACCCGGTGGCTTAAAACTCACGCCGGGCGCGTGTGCGTGCATGCCCAAGATCCCGAGAGGAGAATGGAGGAGAAGGGATTGCGGCGTGACCATCCCCCCTGGGGGGTGATTTCTCGCTTTCTGTCTCTATGTCTCTCTCTGTCTGTCTGGTGAGCGCACGCGCCCTACAGTGAAAATCTCTCCAAAAAAAAAAAAAAAGAAAAAAAAAAGAAAATAGGCCTTGTCAATGTACTATAGGCCAAATGCAGTCAACCTTGGCACTTGGACAAGCAGAGAGAAACAAGCTTGTTTTTAGCTCTTCTTGGGGGGATGGTGTTAAATTGACAAGTGGATTTTAGTATTTTCAGCTTCATTACATATTTCCACCAAAAGCAAGAGAAAGTATGTTTTCAGGGTTCTTCTGTCCACACAGAAAGAGAGATATCTGAACCTCATGAAGAGTTGTGGAAAACTCACCTTCTATTGAAAAACATAACTTTCTGAATGTTCTAGGAGCCAGAGGTTTCCTATGAATCACCTTAGGAGATCACCTAACATATTTTTTCAAGGGCCTGAAGTTTTAGGGGAAAATAGGAAAAAGCCTGTTCTTTTTATGCCCATGGCTGTGATGTAGTCTGCTTGAAACCATGGTTACGGGACTTGCAGGGAAGCACCAACAAGCCACACCAATGCAACCCTAGGAGATTTGTGACTTCCACTTTGGGAAGCAGGCAAACCTTTATGGCATCCCCAAGAAATCAGTGCTAATCCATTCCATTTCACAGATGCCTTTCATCTCTGCCTTCCTCCCTCCCTTTGCCAGGGTTCTCACTCCTTCCCCAGTTCCTTTTCACACATGGCATTTAGTCCTTTTCCTTGTGTAAGCAGTGTGTGTCTGAGGGGGAGCTGAAGGGATAACTAATTTCAGAGCTAGACCTTGACAGTAAAAACCTGTGACTTTGAAGTTGTTTTTGAACATAAAGAGGATGAAAAAAATCTTGACTGTGTAGTGGAAAGATGGGACCTTCTGCAGTACATGCATATGAGGAAGTTGGACAGTGGGAAAGAGAGAAGAGAGGACAAATGCCAGGTCTCTGGTGATGCTTTGCAGGGGCCCACCTCATACTCTGGGTGCTTCGAGGCGCCTCCGCCACCCTTTGACATTTCTAGTGAAGCGTGCAATGGGAACTACCTGCCTGGTTATCATTCTCCAATGTTCTCAAATTCATGCAGGACTTGGCCTTAGACCAGATCATCTAGTGCACAGGCAAGGACATTGAGTTCCAGAGATGTTAGGTACCTAAGGTTACATGACAAGTGAAGGTGGGTTGGAAATGGGGCCCTTATCTCCTATAGCCCACTGCTTGCCCAGTGGGGAACAGAGTCTATTTGACCTCCTAATCTGTTCTCCATGTAGGTTCATGTTTGTGACCCTGACATTTTTTTATTATGTATAACTTAAAGTACTTTCAAAATAATGATCTCTTTGTCTTATAGCAAGTGTGAATTAGGTATGACAGGTATTAGACAGATTAAAAACTTGAGCAATCATACAGTGTTGCAGTGGTAAAATGTGACTCTCTTCTAGACTGATCCACGTGGAAGGTTCCAGGGCTTCTGGAGAACTCTTTGAGTGCTCTGGGCATATGTGTGTGCCTTTCATCTGGGACTGGCTGAGGGTGGGAGTGGATCATGACATCAGGACCTTGTTGGGGTGCTGTTTTTCTCTCGTTCTCTCTCTCACTCTCTTTTCTCATAGAAAAAATAAAAAATAAACTAAAAAAAAGTCTGAGATCAGAAGAGCCTTAAGGATGCATCCTATAGGATGCATCAAGTAGTGTAGCTGGTTTTGACTACGTCCCTGGTGGTGTTTTCACTGAGGATGCTGTGGCCCCTGCTGTTCCTCCAGACTAGAGATGAGGGTGTATCTGCAGAAGTGATTGGCTATTGGAAACAGACAAGTTGGAAACAGACTGACTAAGGTCTTGCCCATTTCCATTAGCTAGAGTACACCCACAGAATCACCTTGGGGTAGAATTTCCTGGATTCAGGCTATTAGTCTCCTTACCTGACAAGAATGGAGAGACACTTTTTTTTTTTTTTTTCCAGAAGTGGCTAAGAAATCTTGCTTGAAGTAAGGCCAGATCATGAACTAGCTGGGTCTCTTGTTGCGCAGAACATTTGATTCAACTGCATTTTGAATTCACATGTATTCATAGAGTTTCTGTTTTGTGCTTAGATCCACACCTGCAATGCTAAGGGAAGCTTAATATTGTAGGTAGTTCAGAGGTAAAAGGGCTCCCATTTCACAAGGTAGATATGCATAGATATTTAAGTAGCAGTAAGTTTCCTAATGGGTAGTACCCTAAGTGTGATAAAATAATTTAAAAAGGGGATGTGCTAGGACTGCTGCAAGAATCCAGGAAGGTTCCTGGAAGAAGGCATGAAGTGGGCATGAAACTGCTCTGAAAGAGGCATCTGCAGAGGGGACTGTTCCAGGCCTAGATGGCTAGAATCAAGGCAGAAAATGCTTGTGGTTAGGTGTGGAGAAAGGATAAAGAGGGTTGAAACTCGGGGGACCTGTCAGAAAGGACCGGGCAGGACAAGCTTTCCCAAATTGAAGACTTTTTATCTGAGTACCATCTATGCTACTATTTACTTAATATTCTAAATTACTGATTCTTTCATTTTCCATTTGGTCTTTTCTTAAGCCCTGTTATTCATGAAATCACAGGATTAGATATAGTAGTTATAATTGTTCTTTATGCACATTAAAATAGACATGGCTGTAAAATAAAAAGAAAAGCAGTTTATCCTGGATACCTCTTAACATCATTGGTGATGCGGGACCATGCTTTTGAAACACTGGAGGAGAAAGTTTAGAAAACTAAGGTGGATGCTAGAATATTTAAAAGCTTTGATAATGATTCTCCAGATAATGAGAGACATTTTCAGTTGTGATGACAAAGGGTGTTGCTTTAGAGAAAGCTTATCACAAAGGGAAGGGAAGATTTTGCTTTTGCTTGAAGCAGAATCCATTGTAACACTATTACTCTCACTTGGTTTTTCTAAGAATTAGATAATACCACTACTCAGTCTTTGGTGTGCATAAGAATCATGCCAAAAGGGGAGGGTGTTAAAAATATAGAGACTCTGGTCCTACATTGAGAACTTTTTTTGTGTGGTTTGGGTTAAGTGCTAGGAGTCTGCATTCTGGTCACTATTCTGACCAGAGCACACTTGCTTTGAGAAATATTGGACTAGAATAGAAATTGCAGGCAGGAAAGAGCTTCAGATAACTAATGAGTCAAGCTTTCAAACATAGAAATGTAGCAGAACTTTGTAATTCCTTTTTAAAAAATTTTAAAGAAATTTTGGCCAGAGCTCACAGGGGAGAGGGAGAGAGAGAGAGAGAGAGACCGACCGGATGGAGAAAGCAAGCCTCAATGGGGAATGGTAATGCTGCAGTCCCTTCTCCTCCATCTAACCCATCTCTCAGGATTTTTGGCACACACATACATATGGCCAGTGTGTTTCTCAAGCTGTGGAGGCTGGGTCTAGAAGTGAGGGGTCGGCCATTTTGGATTTGACTGTCTTAACCACCAGGCCATGCAGGGATCCTGCCCAGAACTTTGTAATTCTTAAAGCAAGATTTATAAGGACAGTTCTGTGAATTGTAAGTGTTGGGATTCATGTTAGAACCAAAGGCTGAATACTGGATAGAGTGACATTTACATTTAGGACAAGAATTGAGGAGAATGCTTTGAGGATTGCTTGCAACTTACAATTGGCTGGCCTGGTTCCCACTCTGGAATTTGTTCTACCTTCACCTCAGTAGTCTGTATT